GTGCCGGTCCCACTATAATATACTTTTATTTCCCTTTCGCTCACTTGGAAAAACTTCTTGTAATCTTTTAAAGCCCAAACACATAGATTCATCAGTTAAAACAATTTTTTCTTCCCCTTCAAATTAAATCACTCCCTCCTCAAAACTGTTCACCTATACTAAACCTAGCAATTCTTTCAATCAATTTTTTAAAATGTAGTCTCAATATATAATAATGTGCCCGACACTTAATAAACACTGGATACTAGAGTTGGTACTTGAACTGAATTGAATCAAATTGACAGCTCTCAAGAACACTAGTGATTGTTAGGATTTTGTACAAATTCAGGCTGAATATTCATAATAGGGCTACTTCCTATTGAGTGAAGATCATCATCAAGTTTAAAGCAGACTTCCTTCTGTGAAGACAATATATACAATAGAAGATAACAAACACACTCAGAAGTCTATAAAGGAGACTGGGTGGCCCAGTGATTCTGTTCTCATTCCAAGACCTGCTGAGATTTGATTTGGAGGGGGAAGATTGATTTTCAAGCTTAAGTTAAATGAAGCATCAAATAAATGTCAAAAGCATGATGTAGACATAGATTCATCACTGTCACACACATAAAATTGCCATCCTTCCTTCTCCCTTAGAACAAATGGAAAGAAAGCCTGCTGTGGTCCCTGAACAAAAGAGGGACCGTAAATTTGCATGGCTACTTACACTTTCAAACTCTATAATGAGTGTGAATATGTGACTAGAATTAAGACACATGCAGACAAATTTTTGTTATCTATTGTAGTTTTATAAACATAAACATTGTTCTTAATCTAAAATTTAGACACAAAGCCTAATATTTGAAAGATCCTTATGTATGAACATGCTGTCACTAAGACTAATAACAGGGAGCCTGCGCTGTGGCGTAGTGGGTAAAGCCACCTCCTGCAGTGCCAGCATCCCATATGGGAGCCAGTTGGAGAGCTGCTCCTCTTCTGATCCAGCTCTCTGCTATGGCCTGGGAAAGCAGTGGAAGACAGCCCAGGTCCTTGGGCTCCTGTGCCTGCATGGTGACCTGGAGGAAGCTCTTAGCCCCTGGCTTCATATCATTCCAGCTCTGGCCATTGCAGCCACTTGGGAAGTGAACCAACGGATGGAAGACCTTTCTCTCTCTCTCTCTCTCTCTCTCTCTCTCTGCCCCTGCCTCTCTGTAACTCTGCTTTCCAAATAAATAAATAAATAAATAAATCCTTTTTATAAAAAAAGACTAACAACAGATTATAAAGCCTGAGATTGAAATACTAAGTCCTTTTTGCAGAGCTAAAGAGATACATTAATGTCATCTCACTAAACTTCCAGGAATTCAAAGGAACAAATGCAAAATATGACAAAATGAAGACACATGAAATAATCATTCTGTCTTTGTATCAGTGAATGTAATAATCTAATTAAATTCAATTTGAGATGACAATAAGGAAAGCAATGAGAGGAGAAAACGTCAGATAATACAACAAGCTGTCATTTATGCAAGTTGAAACTCATTTGGAAATATTTTTGTGCACTTCAACTGAATGAAACAGAATCATTTTAACACTTTCCTTTGTTTGTAAAAAAGATTTATTTATTTATTTGAAAGGCAGAATTAGAGAGAGACAGAGACAGAGCGACAGATGTTCCATCTACTGGTTCATTCACCAAATGATTGCTATGGCCAGGGCTGGGCCAGTCCAAAGGCAGGAACCGGGAGCTTCATCTGGGTCTCCTCCATGGGTGGCAGGGGCCCAAGCACTTGGGCAGTTCTCTGCTGCTTTCTCAGGCACATTGGTGGAACCTGGCTTGGAAGTGGAGCAGCCGGGACTCGAAGCGGCTCCCATAAGGAATGCAGGCATCACAGCTGGCAGCTTAACCCACTACACCACAATGCTGGGTGCCAACAATTTTTCACACTGATTTTGTTCTTTAGTACTATGAAAATTGCAGCACACATAGACACACTTGAGTTAATAAGTCAGAAGTCAAATTTTTTTAAAAAAAGATTTATTTATTTATTTGAAAGTCAGAGTTACACAGAGAGGAGAGGCAGAGAGGGAAAGAGAGAGAGGTCTTCCATCCACTGGTTCACTCCCCATTTGGCTGCAACGGTCGGAATTGTGCCGATCCGAAGCCAGGAGCCAGGAGCTTCCTCCAGGTTTCTCACGAGGGTGCAGGGGCTCAAGGATCTGAGCCATCTTCCACTGCTCTCCCAGGCCATAGCAGAGAGCTGGATAGGAAGTGGAGCAGCCGGGTCTTGAACTGGTGCCCATATGGGATGCTGACGCTTCAGGCCAGGGTGTTAACCCACTGTGCCACAGCGTCGGCCCCCAGAAGTCTTCTTAAACTGCATATTACTGGCTGTGTTTCAAGAAGAGCTTAAATGGTTGGTGTAGGGTAGGAACCAGCAATCTGCATTTAATGCACTATATTGTAGGTTCTGATGCAGTGATTCCACACACAACACTTTCAGAAACTCTACCTGCAGTAGGAAAATGTTAAGGGCCTGGTTTGTCTAGAATACTCTTAGTTTATTTTGTTGTTCTGTATAATTATTAATGGTATAGCTTTATTTTTCTCTCTCAATATTTCCCGACTTAGAGATAATCTTATATTCCATATATGTTCTGTTATTCTTATGACACAAGAACATCCTTGGGTTCTCCATAAATTTAAAGGTTCTGTAGACTTTAGGACAACCCAGAAACCAGAGAAGAAATTGACTCTATAAAGGGTTTAGGGATTAAACAATCTGATCCAGTTACAGAGGTATCCAACCTTCCAGAAGTACCTAATTAATTGCCACTTTCTCTTAGAACAATTGTGCCAAAGAGAACTCAGCAAACCACTTCAAATGACTTAAATTGATCTGATTAGCATCTACCTGCACTGCTGAATCTGACTTCAGCTGAGCTAACCTTTCATATGTGAAAGTTCAAAGAGCCATTTGAATCCTAATGTTCCATTCCTATTTTCTCACCTGTATTTAACACATCTTTAGGCTTTTGTGCCTTGTGAGAAAAATTCTGCCACATAGAAACCAGGATATAATCTTGTGTGATTTCACTAGAACAGCAATTTCCATTCTGATTCAAGATAATCCAGGAGTCCATTGTAATTAGTTCAATTAGAATGTGATCCTGGTGTTGCCAATATGTTGATAAATACTATCTATACAAATGAGCATATTAATTTTTTGAAATGTCTGGAAATTATTTTATGATTAATAAAACAGCTGTATCTCATAGGTCTCAATTCCCAGAGGAATTCATAACTAATGAAATTCCCAATTATAAGCTCAGTATCCCATCTCACTGTTACAAGAATGTCCTCCTCTTTTCCCTAAGCACCATGATAAAGCCAAAAAAGTTTCCAGAGATCTTTGCTTTGTATTAAACATTTAATCGTGGTGGCTCTCACCCATTACTGGAACAGAAAGTCCTATGCCTATAACGTTCTGTGACCACATTGGCAATTGGTATCCCAGAGAAAAAACTGATATTCTGAAGAACTCCTGGGAGATCCAAAGACGCCATTTAAGGTTCTTTTCTCTGTCACCACAGCCTGGACAGTTGTAGGTCAAGGCCTATAAATTTTCTTCAAGTCCAGCTGTGAGGAAGCTACACTCAACCATGGAGTATTTCCCATCAAAATTGACCTAAGGAGCTAAAATTTCAGCTCTTTAAATGGTTTGACATACCCATTCATCAAGATAAAATTATTTTACTAAAGTATGACAATTCCTACCATACCACTATACTCCATTCCACCTGTACTACTATGAAAATCTGTGTAGAAGTTGTCATACCTTATAAAGACTTTATCCTCTGGCAAACACTTAGAAATTCTTTATCAAGCCCAAGTTCTTTCTTGTTGGCTGCATAGCAAGATTTTGTAGTTTTTCATAAGTAAATGTAACCATAGAGCTGGATTCTGGCCAATGGAGTATCAGAAGAAGTGTCGTACACCACTGTTCTGTGCACTACTACAACTTCTCTCATTTCCTTTTTGTGGTCTGGTTGTTGATACTTGAAACAAACTTGGGGCCGGCGCCGTGGCTCACTAGGCTAATCCTCCGCCTGTGGCACTGGCACCCCGGGTTCTAGTCCCGGTTGGGACACCGGATTCTGTCCTGGTTGCTCCTCTTCCAGTCCAGCTCTCTGCTGTGGCCTGGGAAGGCAGTGGAGGATGACCGAAGTGCTTGGGCCCTGCACCCGCATGAGACCAGGAGGAAGCACCTGGCTCCTGGCTTCAGATCAGCGCAGTGCCAGTCGTAGCGGCCATTTGGGGGATGAATCAACGGAAGGAAGACCTTTCTCTCTGTCTCTCTCTCTCACTGTTTAACTCTGCCTGTCAACAAACAAACAAACAAACAAACAAAAACTTGGAATTTGCATTTTAAAAATAAGGAAAACACACAATTTGAAGGATCTTGGATCCTGAATCACCAGTCATTGCAGACTACATAATTGGAAATACCCATATCTCATATCATGTGAATACAAGAGGAATGCATTTTATTGTTTTAAACTTCTAACATTTTATTATTTATCTATTACACATCTATTATTGTACCAATGTGTAGAGATTTTTGCCTTTAAGGATTTTGCATAAGTATACTCATGCCTACTAAAATAAGTTTCCTTAATTTTTACTCTTGTATAGAAAAGTTTGGTACGAGACAGTTCTTAAAGTGGCCTTGACCAACCCAATTCTACCCATTTCTTGAGTGTAGTTTTCAAGAATAACTGTAGAATGTGTCAGAAATGGAACATCATGAAATAGGGAGGATGTGACTGAAATATTCCAGTCCCTCCTAGGGAATGTAACATCTTGAGTTAGGGAGGCACAGGCCGGGACAGCCAGAACTTTGTTCCTCCTTCCTGTAGAAGCAGAATGTCCTTCAAAGTGGTGCCCAGTGTGTCACATGGCTCCTGAAATATATAAACCGAGATGGGCTGCCTTTTGCAGTTCTTCATCTCTGGGGAAAAGTAGAACACGTACAGTCAAGACTCTGTGTGTCCTGAGCATCTGTTCTGAATCTTGAAGGATCAATTCACAATGAATCCAAAACTTCGATTCGTTGCTGCCTGTCTGTAAGTAGCAAATCTTCTTGCACAACTCGCTGTATATATGACTATGTTCTGTCTCCCAGGCCTGAGAAAAATAGGTACCTAGTGCAAGGTGTACCTAAGTTGTAAGCCACAGTGCAGTGGGCACAAATATACGGACTCCTGTTTCTGTATGATTGATGTAATGATGTGATTGATGTAATGATATAATTGATGTAATGATGACCTTTGTTATTTTCCATGCAGTTAGAGTCCTCTCCTGGGATTGGTAATGAGAGAACTTGATTTGCAGTTGAGATATCGGACATTTCCCTTAAGAAGTCACCTGGTCACACTAACAAAATCCATCAGTCTTTCAATTCCTTATAATCAATAGTCTGTCTTGGGGAAAAAAATAACTGCTACCAGTTTCCTTAATGCATGCACATCTGCTGAAAGCTTTTACTAACATCATTATATTGCTTTACTAAATGCATGCTTAAAAACCAACTCCTCTCACGCAGGAGAAGCCAATCTAGAATTCAGGGCACTGAAAATGGCTGTTTTACTTAAAATATGAGAACGACTGGAATCTGCAGATTTTTCAGAATATTCTTTATGCTAGTATAATCACATTATTCTAAATATTGAATCTTTGATGGTTTTTAACATTTATTTTTAATAACATAATAATGTATATATTTGGAGGTACATTGTGGAATGGTCAATGAAAGCTAATTAACATATCCTTTACTTCATGTACATATTTTTGATCAATAAATCTAAAAAAGCAAATCCTTCTGTTTACCTGAAATTTTGTGTTCATTGAACAGCATCTTCCAATTCTCTGCATCACCCACCCTAGCTGCCCTGGCCCCTGGTATCTATTCTCTGCTTCTGAGTTTGAATTTTTTAGATCCCACTTAAAAGTGGGCTCATGTAGTACTTATGTTTCTGTGCCTGGCTTACTTCAGTGTTGTTGCAAAGGAAAAAATTACGATTATGTCTATCTTTTTAAGGCTGAATGATATTCCATTGGGTGTATATACCATATTTTCTGTGTCCATTCATCTGTCATTTGATGCTGAGATTGATTCCATATTTTAACTGTAGTGAATGCTGCTGCAATGAACATGGGAGTGTAGATATCCAAGGCACTGTCATCACTGCTATTCAGTGTTGTTAGTACTGGAATTCCTGGCCAGAACAAACATCCAAGTTAAAAAATAAACTAACAAAAGGCAATCCAATAGGAAAGGAAACAATTAACAGAGTGAAGACACAACTCACAGATTAGGAGAAAATAGAAGCTTTTTCAAACCATCCATTTTGTAAGAGGTTAGTATCCAAAATATACAAAGAACACAAACAACTCAATAACAAGAAAACAAATACCTTTATTTGAAAATGAGCAAAGAACCATAGACATACAAGTGGCCAATAGGTATATAAAATATGCATAATCCCCAATCATTTAGGGAAATGCAAATTAAATGAAATATCACCACGCTTAGTAGAATGTCTATTATCAAAAAGAAAGAAAATAAGTGTTGGTAAGGATATAGAGGAAAGGAAGCTTTTATACACTGTTGATGGAATTGTAAATTAGGGCAGCCATTATGTAAAACAGTATAAAGATGCCTCAAGCAAACTAAACATAGACTCATCAGATGATTCTACAATCACACTTCTGGGTATATCTCCAGAGGAAGTGAAATCAACATGTTGAAGAGTTATCTCCACTCTGGTGTTCATGGCAGCTTTATTCCCAATAGCCCCTTTGTTCTTTTCCTGCTAACCCAATGAAGCCATGAGGGAGCACAAAGAAGCCATTTGTCTCAGGTGAGTACAGTTTGAGATTTCACAATAATAATAGCTCATGCGACCATTACCAGGCACTGCTTGTGACCCAAATTACCTAATATAACATAGTCAATCAATCTTTTCAAAAAGCACTACTATTTTCTGCATTGTATACATGAGGAGGTCATGCAGTTAAAGAATGTTAGGGGTCTGAGCTGACCTTGGCCGTGGCTTCTCCCGGAAGCTGTGGAGCCGCCCGGCGCTTGGACCGCAGATGTGTAAATATACGGCTATTTCCTATTTTACTGTTCTTCAGATTTAGTACTTGTAAATAAACACACACATTAAGGAGAGATTAAACATTTTTGCTAAAAAAAAAAAAAAGAATATCAGGGATGAGATTCAAATCTAGGCTGTCTCCAGGGTCTGTAGTAATTTTTTTTTAAAGGTTTATTTATTTATTTTAAAGACAGAGAAAGAACGAGAGCAAGAGCGAGACAGACAGAGAGACAGACAGAGAAATCTTCTAACTGATGGTTCATTCCCCAAGTGGCCTCAAAAGCCACTGGTTCAACCTGACACCCAGATATGGGATGCTGGCAATACAAGCTGCAGCTTAACCTGTTGTACCACAACAATAGCACTAGGATCTGTGTTCTTGACATTAGAGGTTACTACCTCTTCAGTCCAGACATCACTTATTTAATGTAAACACAATGTACTTAAGACTAAAATGAGGCCAAGAGAAGCTTAGTGACGTCCCCAAACTCACATCATATTATGATTGCAAAGTTAGGCCAAAAACCCAATTTGGGTACTAACACTACAGTATTGTGTCATATGAACCACTATGCACTTGAAATGTAAGCTATGACAGTCTTTCTTTAGCCTTATTATTTTGTTTAAATAAGTAAAAGACATTTATTTTCTCATCTTCAGCTTATTTCTGAGATTTTGATTCTCTTAAGTTCATTGAGTTTCTTTTCCATCCTTCTCCTTTATCCTTTCAAAATTATGTTGCTTTCCAAATTAACCTTTAAAAATATGCATGAATCTCAAATTATCTAATAATATGATTTTATGACAAATCCTTTATTGAGGCAGGAAAGCATAAATAAATCAGAGTAATGTTGAAGTGAAAAATAAGGATGTAATAAATGAAGGAGTAAAGTAACTACTCAGCATAACACCATTTGTAAGCGCCAGAAAATGATTCCAATCCTAAGGAAAAAGTTATATTCCCACTTAGAGAAAATACGGTATATTTTGTCGCCTAGAATGTGTTCATAAATATTAGTAATTGGAGATTTTAAAAACAATATAATGATTGTACGGCACCTCACCTATATATATTTAGTCATTCATGTCTATTGATTATGTGTGTTCATTTGAATATCTGTGTTTCTCACAGTTGTTAGGATAGTACCAAGCCACACACACACACACACACACACACACACCTCTTTGCATAGTATTCAGTTTGTATCTAATAAAAGTAAAATAAATCTAAAAAAGTTCTGATGCATATATATTTCAATGATTATGTACTGTACTTGAAATAAAATACAAAAATTTTGTTTCAGCAGCTAGAATACTGCTTGGGAAGTCTGCACCCCGTGTTGGTGTACATTGCTTTGAATCTCTGCTCTGCTTTCTGTCCCAGCTTCTTGTTAACACGCTGGAAGGCAACAGGTAATGGCACAAGTGCTTTAGTCTTTGCCATCCACATAGGGACTTAGACAGAGTTCCAGTCTCCTGACTTTGGCCTGACCCAATCTTGGCTGTTGTGGGCATTTGGGGAGTGAACCAGGGGATGGGAGATCTCTGTGTGTCTCTCTGTATCTCTCCCTTCCTCTCTCTTTGTTTCAAATAAATAAAAATAAATAAAATTTACAATTCAATGTTCAAAATAAATAAATAAAAATGAATGACAGTATCACACTTAAAAAATGAAATAGTGGATCTGGCACTGTGGCATAGAAAGTTAAACCTCTGCCTGCAGTGCCAGCATCCCATATGGGCACGAGTTCGAGTCCCGACTGCTTCACTTCCGAAGCAGCTTACTTAAGAGACTGAAAAAACAAATATGTCAACACAGATGTGTGTTCAGCAAACAGCTTGAGAGAATTTGGTACTTGAAAAACATACATGTGCTTGATATTAAATAACTCACCAGTGGATTGAAATTCTTAAAGAAGGCAATAATTTTTAAATAATCTCATCTTTTAGTATCTCAATAAACTCTGTGAGGACAAAATCATCGTGTACAGAGTATAGCTGAAGGAACCTTTCTCACATTTTGACAGAAAGGGGCATGATACTTTCTGACACCTAGACTGCCCTAGGACAGTGCAAAAGGGCCATACAGCTGCAAGTGTAACTACTGTCAGGGAGACATCTGTGGTTACAGTCCATGTCACCGGGCAGGAAGCAATTCTGAAGGAAGCATGGATGGTGTGTCATCTGCCATTAGTGACAATGGAGATACACTTTATCAGAAAAAAGAGAAAAGTGAACTCCTCGGTATGAAAAGAGAAGAAAAAATTTGCAATCAAATTAACTCCCGTGAATTCGTCTCAAAAGTACACATGTACCAAATGTTGTACACCATAAACGCATACAATTTTTACTGTTCAATTATAAATAAACTCAAGAAGAAGAAAAAGAAGTATGTTTTGATGCAACGAGAACTAGGAAAAAATTAAAATTTTCTGACATAAATGATCTGGAACAGGATCTCTTCTTTCATAAAGTTATTCAGTTAATTGCATTTTAAACTTAAAAAGATCTCATGTTGGCAACAATTATTCAACGTTTTAGGAGACTACTGAACTATATAGCTAGCAAGAAGGGGACAAGGAAATCCAACACTTAAGCAAGGTCATCTTCAAACTTTTGTGCCCCTGAGAATCACCCAAAGAGCTTTAAAAATCCAGATTATCAAACCACAGCCCTCTGACCAATTAAATCAACTTTCTTCAGTGTGACCCAGTATTAATATGCTTTAACATTTTCCCAGTAATCACATATGCAGCTGAGTTTGAGTCCCAATGTTTTAGAATGGTAAATAGTTTCCTTTTAATGATATTCTGGGGCAAGTTAAGGAAAGAGATTGAATCCTAAAATCCAATCATACTGTTATTTTTTAAAGATTTATTTATTTATTTGAAAGGTAGAGTTACAGAGAGAAGGACAGAGACAGCTCTTCCATCTACTGATTCACTCCACAGATGCCACACCGG